CCTGCCTGAATGTGCCATCACCAAGACACATTATTATCCCCTACTGATTAATTTTTATTCCAAGTCCACAAAGCATACTTTCACATACAAATACATTATTCCTCAAATATTACCCATACATTCATCGCAAAATGGTTATGAATCTCAGCAAGTTATGAGCTTTCTGTAGATACCTTACATGTTATTCTTTATGGAGAAATATCCTGTAAGACATGTGTTTAGTGTGATGAGTTTGTCAGGTCTAAGACAAGAGTAGTTTGCAAAGAACAGGAGACCCTTCTCTTAGAAGAGTCTGTGTCAGAATCATTCCCATCAGTTTACTGGGTAAAACATTCACCTGATGTAAACTTGCTATTGTTTTCCTCAGATCTGTCAGGTCCCAGAGATATGAGACCCAACTAGAGAGGGCACAAAATTCCAGGCTATGAGCATCACAAGTGAAAAAGGGTTAGTTCATGAAGTTAACTGAAGTAGTCTTAAGAAGTAAAGAGTGATCTCTGTCCTCGAACTGGTTCATGTGCCTTTAACAGTTACAGGTAAAGCCCAGATTGGCATTTGGTGCCTAAACTTGGATTGTAGCAGTATGCCTGTCTGGAGCAATAAGGGTGAGAAAAATATTCAGGCCTTTTTTTTTTAAACCCATAATCAAAGCACTATATACAGAAAATGATCCTTAATTTAAATAGCATTTAAAGGTTGAAGGCCCCTGGAGCAGGCTTTGCACACATGTGTGGGAGTGTGGGGACTCAGCCAATATTCATGATCCAAAGCTGAAAGCTGCTCCTAATAAATCCTTACTATTGCATTAAAGAACTGGTCAACACATATTCACTCTTGTGCTAATAAGGTGATGCAGCCAATGCAGGAAGTCCTGGGAGTACTAACGCAATGAAAGAGGACGAGACAGAGGGTGTGTCTAGACATACAGTGCTGCAGCAGCGTAGCCATACAGATACAGCTGAGCCATTGCAGCACATCTGGTGAAGATGCTCTATGTTGACAGGAGAGAGCTCTCCTGCCAACACAGCAGCTGTGCACATGAGCACTTATGTCGGCGTAACTTATGTCTCTGAGAGGGGTGAAATATTCATATCCCTGAGCGACATAAGTTTTACCGACATAGGCTGTAGTGTAGACATAGCCAGAATGTGTCCACACACGTGCCCATGGAGCATATGCAACAAAGTGTTGTCCTTGTAGCACAATATGATTAATTGCAGCATGAAGCGCATATGGCTTAACAGACAATGCTGAGATCTAACAGGTTACCATAACCAAGTCATAAGATTAAAGTGACTTTTCAGCCTGGCTGGGTAAAATAATCTTAAAGGTGAGCTGGGGAGAACAAAAACCCTCCATTTTGTACCCTTTTTGCTCTGTTTATGACATATAAAGAAGGGATGGCACATTCTTTTTAAAATGTTTGGTTTTCTTCGGCTTGCTTTACATTATAAATATCAAGTCTTGACTTGCTTTCTTTTGCTTGAAGACTCCTTGGGAGACTTCTGAGATCGCAAGTGACAAGAAACTAAAACCTGAGCAATGCAGAGGGAGAGGAATTTTTAGGGCTTGTCTTCACTACCAAGTTAACTCAAGTTACAGTTGGAGTGTTGCCCCTATCTCAAGTCCCATCCATGCATGAAAACCCTTAACTCAAGTGCTGTGGTGTTTTTAACTCACATTGGTTGGCACAAGGGTGAGGCTAAAACTTGAGTGAGCACAACTTGTCAGTTGCCAACATGACCACTCTGCACTGTGAACGCAGGCTAGTGCCACTCAAGAGCTGATAGTCCTCCAAATGCCTTCCCACAATTCCCCTCATGTGCTCAGAAAGGACAGACAAGTTCTCCTACTATTCAGTGAGAAAGAATTCATAGAGGGGCTCATTTTACTACAGTAGGGTGACCAGATCACCCAAGTCAAATATCGGGACGCGGGGGGGAGGGGGGGG